TAATGGCCTTTAAAAATGTGATGCTGAAACAGGGACAAGCATTAGCGTATCAGTCATAAAGATGTGTGTATCCATTCATCACTTCCCCATTTATACAGCCACAGATGCAGCAGCTTTGCCCCAACATTGAGTCAGAAGCCAAACTGGGATGCTTCTCCCCTATGCACCACAAACCCTTGTCAGAAACATTGCTGCCTGCTCTCCTCCTGTTTATCCTCCCCTAAATACCATATTGGCACCATGGCTCTCTGGACATGTCTCATCCAAGTCTTGACCAGGCTGAGCAAACCCATTTAGCTTTTCTGTTCCGATAGCATCACGGGTCAAGGTGGAACAAACAGAAAGTGAAGGGCTGAGCCATCGAAGCGGATCAAGATCTGCCACGGGGGTGCCACGGACAGTAATGTAATGTTCTGCATGAATGTGCAAGAGGTGTGTTCAGGGATAATGTGCTTGCATAGATAGAGAATTTTTTCAATTCCAGGTTGTTATCAGATTTGGAAAAATGCTTAAGTGGGTTGCTGTGGTATCAGTGTGTTGTTACACCATGAAGGGGAGCTGTATTCCCTCTCTAACATCCACACTGTAGTTGCACAGGCCCTGAAAATAATTAACTGAGCATAACTAGGCTCTTATCCCAGCATTAAATCTGTATCATTAGTTCACTCCCTACCCCAAAAGTTAATTTTGACTGTCAGACCCACACCCCTCTATTATAATAGATAAGGTGAAATTCTCTCCCAAACAATTTGGTGGGACTACTAGGAGTTTCATCCTGTTGGGAATGAAGAGAATGTCTTGGGGAGACAGAAATGGCAAGAACATTCAATCCCCATACTGCAGGTTAGAAGTTGATCACATATATATTCATATGTATGTATGTAGGTGTAGCCTTCCCACTACTACCACACATTGTAGTCTGATTTCAGCAGCCAAGGCTTTTCATAGTGCTTTCTGCCACAGCATTGAACTAGGAGATACGATTGCAGTGCTTGATTACTGTAACTCCACATCCAGAACACTGGACAATTGCATTGTGAGCCAGGGCCACTAAGGATAGGCACAATACTGCGCTTTATTTAATAATCCTGTAGTCTGCTCCAAAAATGGGCCACTCATCTAGGAACAGATACATAGTGAAACACTGAAGCTTGCTAACACCCCTCCTACACACTTACCCCAGCACCTCCTAGAGCTCTCACTGCTATATCCTTTTGCCCACAGGTCAAACTGCATCCCAGGTACAGCAGTGCTGCCTCATGTGCTGCTTTTCTTCAGTGCCTTTGTGTGGGACCAACCTGTGGGACCAACCTGAGGAGACCCACTAGAGCAGATGGTGACTGGAACAGAACAACCAGGTCATGGCGAATGTAGAAGAGGGGAAAGTGTGCCAGTTATGGCTGTAGTTTGGCTAACAGAAGGGAAATAGGCATGGAGCTAATGCTTCTCATTACTTGGATGCCCAGCAGTTTGTCACTATAGAAAACTGCTTATATTATGAAATTAAACCTTCCTAAGGTAAACATTTATTCCAGATAAGCATGGAAACTAACACAGAATGGGTGGGTATCTGGTAGAGCAAGAAAAGTAACCATGAGGAGAAAAGCTCTTGCCAGGAGCAGTTTGCTTGTAGGAAAGGGTTGCTGACTCTCTCCTACAGAGGCCAGAGGCAGCCCTCTCAGCTGATGGACTCCTCCTACCACGAACAAATAGGATAGAAAGGGGGGAAGAGGGGAAAGCTACCTCTCTAATCAGAATGAATCTCTCAGGAACTCACCACCAGTCCTTTTCAGAGCCCGGAAAAGTGGCTTTGAGATTTATCACTTGTCTTGAGACTATGGTGGACAGTTATCACTCTATCCTGAGTGATATCCTGAGGTAGTCTTGAGAGCTAGCTTTGCCTATGCAGTGTCTGGGCACCTCTTGCAGTGTCCCCTGGCCTCAGTGTGGACAAAGCACTCAGAAAATGTAACACAAAACCAACCACAATTGAACCTATGAAGCTTTGAATCATTAAATCAATGAGGAGACAAAAGAAGTGCAAGTGCTGTCTTTATTCTGTGAAATTATAAAAGAGGAGCTTATCTGAAAACAAATTCCCCATACAGAAGCCACAGCAAACATGACTCAAAACAAACCAGTGCTGGAGTTTGTCATGAGCTTTGCTTAACCCAATACTAGTGAGAGTCAGGAAAGTACCTTCTCCAAGATGAATCCTGACAGGACAAGGAGGAATAGGATGTGTGGAGAGGCACAAGCAGAACTCACTATGGGTAAAAGAGAAGCTGTTTCACATTGGAACCGCTTTAACTTTACGTCCATCATCCCCAGATTGTTTTTTCCATCTCCTACAAGACTGCATTCAGAAATGGTGGTGCAACCCTTCATGGCAGCTTTCAGAGACAGTCCACCTACACAGGAGAAGAAGTAAATGCCATGCGTCAGAGGAACCAATCTCCTTTGCTATTCTTTCCCTCATCAGTAAGATCCCCATTTTCACCCCAAGAATTGCCCATTCCACACATCCGCTTGGCTCCAAACTGACCAACTCATTCCTGCCTGTTCCTACACTTTGAACAAATTTGGAGAAGCAGCAAGGTCACTTTGGTTGTCTTGAAGTAAAGGGTTTGTCTTTTCTTTCTTTCTGCTAAATAAATATGATATCTTTTAAACCTAGACATTTTAAACTTAAAATTTGAGAAGCTTTTTAATAGTTTTCTTTCTCACTTTTAAAAATTCTTCTGTTCAACCCTTGCCTAGCTTCCAAAACCAAAGAGGCTGTGTGATAGTACTACAGGGGCTCATTGTCTCCTCTTTCTGATCCATTCATGGCATTTGAACTGGATGATTATCTCAGCCAAATATAACATGGGGGTGAGAGATCTCAGAGACATTACAGGCTGAGACATTTATTCAGCTAAGTCCATTCTCTGAGGCCTTACAGGATTTAGCCAAACCAACAGAGAAACGCTGCTCACATGCCTACTGAGGGAGAGCCTGCAACGTGAACTCGTTGTTTGCTAACACTAGAACATCTACCTGAGAAGGAGACCCAAGAAGCTGCTGGGTGCCTAACTCCTCATTGAGGTGTTCTTCCTCCTGTTGTTTGCTTTTGCTCACACTCCTCATGTTTCTCTGCTGTACAGGCTATGGAGGCCTGGAATATTCTGAAGGACATTTTTATATCAAGTCCAAATACTGTCTAAGGGCACTTTACTAGTTCCTCACCATCCCTTGCTGCCCTGCAGCACTGCATCCCCTGCACAGCTAATCACACTGCACAGGTTTGCTCCATTTACACCATGTGATCAATCAAGTCAAGACAAGTTAGGAGCATTTTTTATTTCAGTCGTACACTGAATTAATTCCACCCCTCTATTTCTGTTGCTGTGACTGAGAAAAACGTTTGTTTTCCTTCATGTTGTCTCTGTGGAACACTGTCTAATTCAGGGTTTGGACAGCACATCTACAAATACAGGAAGGATCTTCAGGCATCATATCATCACCTAGCAATATTATCAGCTCAGAGAAACTTCATCCATAAGCATACACAAGATAATTTTTTTTTCCATTCTGCTTTTACAGCAGGTGCTGCTGCCTTTAGTTTCCACATTATTTTTCCTGCCTGCTGGAGCACAGGTGGGACTGCTATGAAACATGGAAGTCTTTTATCTGCAGTAGGGAAGGAAAGAGGAGCAACCATGGACCTTGATGTCTGCTTTCATCTCTCTAATAACAGGTCCTGAGGTGTAGGAAAAGGATTTCTGAGGGAGAGTGTTACGTGCTGCTGGTGACCGCAGACATTCAAAGGCTGGAGTTCCCTTGCAGGGAAGATCTGTCAGCACTCCAAAGATTCTGCTGCAGCATTCATGGGGAGGGACCTGTCCTTGGCTCTCTAGGAGCAGAGGCAACACTACAACAAACGTTGTCTCACCCCCAGCGGCCAGTACAACCTCATGAGAAAGCCAATGGCTCAGTATCGGTTTCACCTGAAGCTCCACTAAATAGACAACTGGCTTAGATCAAGTGTCATCCTCATGTATCCTAGCTAGGGCAAGCAGCTCCAGGGTCTTGGTCAAATTTATTACGTGTCCGTTTATCAATTCCAACATATATGAGGAAAACCAACAGTCTTGTGTGCATGATGGGGAAGGAAGGAGAAAAAAAGCCACCCCTTTAAGCAAGTTCCCTTTCAGTTCCATGTCTCTTACTCTTTTTTTCACTCATCATTTTTGCCCATTTTTATTTCCCTATGATGCTTCATCTTAGACTGATTAGACTTCATCTTAGACCAAAAAGATGAGAGACAGCCCCAGATAAAAGGTAGTTACCGGAATTCATTAACCCAGCAAGGTCAACACACTGGGTTTCAGATCCAGTGCAGTTTACAATTTCGTTACCACACTGGAAGGAGTCCACGCTGTAACAGGCAGGACACTGGTATCCATTGGGCACGTTGTTCTCAGGTGGCACTGGAAGGAAAAAGATGAGCTGTAGTTGGTTTTAATGATGCAAGTAGAGAAACGAGCCAGTGATGGCTTAGCCTGGAAGATCTCACCTTGGGACAGGGCAGAGAGGGGACAAGGTATAAGGAACAAGAGAGCTTACATGAGACAGAGGTAGTTTGACAGTCGTCGCCTGTGCAGCAAGCCAAGTGGCTCCTTCCTTTCACCTTCCCATAGTTCATGGTGATAGGACCTAGATGGCACATGCTGGATGACAGGCAGGACTTGATGGCTGAAGGGATTGCCATCCCCCCTGCAATAAATCGGAAGGCAGAGCCAAGTTACCTCCTTTCCCCTCCCATTAGCTCCTACAGCAGCAGCTGCTAGGCAGCTGTCTGGGGGCCTAACAGGACCTGGGGACGGTGCAGCCCCCCTAAAAGCAGCACCGGTGATCTTGGTAATCTCAGAGGAGCTATCACATCGGAGACACTAGTGAGGGATTTCTCCTCCACATTGTGCTTAAAGACAGGAGAAGAGAGTGACACCTCACAGCCAGCAGGCCTTATTGCAGAGGTACACCTTAGAATGTCCCAGCTGCAGAGCTTATGGGGTGAGCCACGTGTCTCTGGCACATAGCCCGCATTTCTCCAGGCACAGTCCACAGGACACAAGGTCCATTGTAGCCACAAGCATCCTCACATAGGCAAGTCTAGGCTTCCCCAGCAACCAAACCCAGAAGGTGTAACAGGGAGCAGAACAGTTACATGGAGTCTACTGAGGCCCACCCAGGGCTTCAAGGATGAGGGGTGGTTTTGCACAAGGTGAGGACTGGGGCCACCAGCACCAAAGCTATTAGGATACAAGCCATCCTTCAGTCTAAATGCCAACAGTCGCACCACTGAAGCTGGGCAATTGGCAAAGCCACACCACTAGTACAACCAAGTGTGCAGCTGGGTCTGGGCTCAACACCCATCTTTGGCTTACCAGCCATGAGGACATGGTAATAGCTCAGCCCTGGTGGTGTCACGTGTCTGCCTGGTGTCCCCTTCCCTGCTCAAATAAGGAAATCAGATTCAAGCCAGTTTCTCCTTCCACCCATGGCCAGTGCACTCTCACTGCCAAATGCCAGCAGCCTTGTGTCTGTCATGGTCCAGCCTCTCAACCCAACTACTCACCTTAGAATTAAAAGCCAATGTTTTCTCCTAAGTGTGCTGTTTAGGTCTTTCCCTCCACAGCTAAGAAACAAGCCCTCCCAGCAGGACACTGCTGCTCAAGACAGAGAGCTTTTCCCATCCCAGACCATCCTGAAATCTGGATCCTCTGTCAGTGAATGGGAAAATGAACAGCTTACCCAAGGACTCACCATAAGGCCAGTGACAGAGGTGGGAAGAGAGACCCATCCCCAGCCCCACTCTGAAAGCCACGCTGGCCCACAGCCGTAGTGGATGTCTCACTTACCCATCGTGACCTCATGCAGAATGATGCCACAAGTATCTTCACCATCATTACAGGTTTTCTTGGGGCCAGAGCAGCTTTTTCCTATGCTGTGACAGACCTCACACTGAAGGGAGGTCCCTGGGGAAAGAAGGAGGACACATTCCTGGGTCAGGGCTCATTCCTGGGTAGCACTCATGAGGGATGTTACTTCCCCTTCTATGTTCTGTTTTGCATCAGCACTTTTCACATTCCTCTTCCGCTATTCTCCCCATTTCATTGCTCAATTTGTGGGTTAATTTTTACTATTTGTCTTATAGTTTATTCTAGCATGAAATTTAATTTGGGCAGGTGAGGGGAAGTCATTTTGGGACAGCATTTTACATTTTGTACTAATACCCAGCTAGCTTTACTGATCTCCTATACAATGATGTTTGCTTGGTTTTCCTGGGGTTGCTAAGGAGAGTACCCCCACAAGCCCCTCCATCCTGGTAGGTATTCAGCTATTTCTGCATTCCCAGGCCCAGATCCATTCTTTGCAGTGGGCAGAGGCACCCAACTGTCTGGGGATCAAGAGGCTGGAAGTGTGTATTGACTGTGCTATGTACAAACAGGAATGGCAAGGTCTTTGTAGAGCTTAGGGGAGACCACTCCACCAACTGCCTGACGGAACACATTAAGCAGAATAAACTGCTTATTATATAAGAATGGACTATCAGACAGTCAGCATGAAACAGTTAAAAAGGAGTAAAGTGTTTATCAACAGAGGGCAAACAGCATGTCTTCCCTGACACACATTGGGACTCAAGGGTCTAGCATGTAGATTAAGAGATCCGGGGCATGTGTCAATTCCCTAAACCCAGGTGCAATCTAAGGCACCTTGGAGTGGCTGTGACATCTACATGGGGTGGCAGGTCTAAAAGCAGACCTCCAAGACACCAGTGCTCGTCTGGAGCAGAGCTGAAGGACAGCTGAGGTGACATATAACATCTAAAAAGTCACACAATCCTGGGCATGAGCAAAGTACGTGAGCCCTTAAGCTTGTGGTAAATAGTGGCTGGAGATAAATTCAGTCAACCAACAGTCTGTGTGTCAGAGTAACTTGAGTCACTCCTGTGACTGTCCCAGTTAGGTCACCAGTGACCACCACGGGAGCTTAGACAGCTGGCTCATGTTGTAAATGCCTACAATTTTATCTGCACATTGACCATCAAAGATCCCTTGAGTCTGGTCAGCCCTCTGCAGTGGAAAATCCCCCAGATGAGGTGGCTTGGGAACCTTCCAGCATGGAGCAGCCATTCCCAGACCACTTCAATGCCTCACAGCCCCACAGGTCCCAGCAGAAAACTCACCTGGGTCCAGGAAAGCCAGGAAGAAGCTAAGTCCGAGGGTTGCTTTCATGCTGATGGGATGTAAGCACAGGGACCTGCCAAGCCTCACAGAACACAGCACTGTGTGTCACAAGGG